CGCAGCCATAGGCTGCATTCACCAGCAGAGAAAACTAATCGGTTAAGGCCATCACACGTACAAAAATTTTAGTCGGAATCGTAAGGTCGCAAACAAATCGACCAATCACAATCAAAATTAAGATCTTGCTCTTTTAAACGCTCGACTGTGATTGGCCGATTTGCCTACGACCTTACAATTACGACTAAAATTTTTGTACGTGTGATGGCCTTTGGCGCTTAGTGATTCTGACCACGGATCGCACAGTCCATTTTCTATGGCCGGAATCCATAGTCCGATCTTAATCTCAAGCAATGAGCGCATTCAGCAGATTCAACAGTTGAGTGAGCACTCAACTCGCTGCTATTGATGTATTCTTCTAGATCTAAAATTCTGATTGGATGAGCTAAGAGAATACACCAATAACAGCAAGCGCTCACTCAACTGTTGAGTTCGCTGAATGTGCCCAATGTCTTAAGATGCTAATACGGTTCTCTGATTGGTTCATGCACTAGCTTAAGACCATCTCGAATCTTGAGCAACGTCAGTGGATTCCGCCCATAGTGACATTGCGGCAAAGTGGATGAAAGCTTGTGGCAAGGAGATTAACCTCAAAAGTAGTAGATATATAAATTAAATGTTATTATTTACAAATTTATTTGTTTTTTTCCAATAAATTCTGATAAAGCATTTTATTTATTTATCTTTACCCTTTTCATATATATAAATAATTTAATAATATTATTATTAACTAGAAGGGATTTATAATAATTATTATTAAATTATTATTAATAATAATTAATAATAAAAAGTCACAATAGTAGTGCTCAACAAAATAAAGTCATTAATTGTCATTTACTTATTTAAATTATACAACATTTTGAATATTTCAGAAAAAACGCTGATTGGCTGATATATTAATATGGCCGGTCACTTGTTCCATCATCCTCATTGGTTAATCATTTTCTTGCGCAACAGCACACCTCTTCTTTATTACACCATGGGTTTAGCTCTTCTTTTGCAGCTAAACAGAACAGACCATTGGGCGAGTTCAAAACTGCAAGCGGCTAGACATGCTTATCGAGCGATCGAATATGATTGGTTGGATCTATAAGTAGTAACCAATTATGTTCATTTGCTCGGCGAGCAGGCTAGCCGCTTTGTCAACTTGAACGCGCCCATTGCCTCGGGCCCGTATTCAGAACGCGCTTTTATCGATAAAAGCGTACTTTTATCTCTGAAATTCTATAATATGCGTGACGTAAAGTATAGTATGTTAGCGCGCTATGTTAACATCGTTGTAAGCGCGTTCTGAATACGGGCCTCGGAGTCGGGTCGAGTCGGTAAATCGAATACGCTACAATATAATTCACTAACACAATTAAATGTGACACTGCACATCGTATGTACAATACATACATACATACATATATGAATGCTCAATATGGCGATGAAATGTTGCAAGTTATTCCGTTCAGCGAATCTGGCAGTATAGGCTGCGTTCCACTTAACGCTCACAATGCTCGAGGAATCATTTCATCCTTGTCGTTTATCAAATGTTAAACAAGGACAAACGATGCTCGCGGCGTTGCAAGCATTAGGGTGAAGTCCCATCAGGCATGTTTGCCGCGTATCGCGTAAGCGCATAACCAATCAATAATCAGTAAAACGCGAAACTATAACAGCAGATCGCTTCTGATTGGTTACGCGGTTATGCGATACGCGATAAATACACCTCATGGGACTCCACCCTTAAGTGGAACGCAGCCATAGAGAACGTTTTCTGTGACCAACTTTTTCTCCTTATCCTATCTAGTTAGTTCTCCTTATTTTTACTTCATGGTCTCATCGAATGGAAGGAACGGGAGCGTCGGGAGCCATTTTCGTGCGAAGAATGCGAAGAAGTTTTGCGGAGCAGAACGACTGAGAGCAACGCTTTTCCACTTTTCTCAGCCAGATTCGTAACGTTTCGGACAAAAACAGGTAATTATTTAGAATACTGGTCCCCCTCTAGAATCTTAATAAAAATATACTCATTCGACGCGTTATCTCAAAACGAATTTGGCAAAAAAACGCGGCGATCGACCTCGTGAATTGAGTTATCAAGCGTTAAAGTTCGAGACTTTAAAGGTTAAAATATCTGTTATCTCGACTCGATACAGTGCTATGTATACGTTCTACATTAATTACACAAATTCTCTGTTTTACAAATACAAATTCACTACTTTAAAAAACACAAATTCACTGCTAATGCAAAGAATTTGTTTGCTTAACACAGTGAATTTGTGTTTGTAAAGCAGTAAATTTGTATTTTTAATGCAGTGAATTTGTCTTTTTAAAGTAATGAATTTGTGTAATTAAAGCAAAAGAGCTGTATCGAGTCGAGATTGTCATCAGATATCTTAATCTAAAGTCTCGAATTTAAACGCTTAATAACTTGATTCAAAAGACCGACCGCCGTGTTTTTTCCCAGATTTTTCGGTTTTGAGTAAAAACACGTCGAATGAATACATTTTTATTAAGATTCTAGGAAAGGATCCGTATTCTATAAATAATTACCTTTTATTCTAATCATAATTTTAAACTTATAGTTCTATCGGATAAAGTGAAATGGATAAAATGATTACATATAAAAATATTTTCAAACATAATATAAATGACAAGTATAAAGTCAAAGGGCATACACGGTTCAAAGTATTGTATAATCGGAAGTTCACCGCACCTTTGAGGAAAAAACGGAAAAATGAATATGATGCTAATGAAGAAGCTAGGTAAAATAAAAAAATAAATTCAACACCACACAAAACTTGTTTTCTAATCCAGCAGGGAAAAAAGTATCCTGTGCCACCGATTTAAGACAGGCGCACAATGATCTTTTTAATCCTTTTTACAAATATTTAATGATATATTCAATTTACAGGTTAGAAAAAATAGTTTTTGGTAAGCCTAGTGATATTATAAATAATTTATTAGATGATAAATCTGAAATGAAGACAAAAGATGAACATGTTGATGTTTGTGAAAAGATTAGAGATGATAATAAGGATGACAAGATGAACAATGAAGATAGGGAGGATGAATCAGATCAAAATATTTCAATTTTAAATCATGGCAACAATACAAAAACAGAGGAAAAGAAACCGGCATGGATAGACGAAGATGATTATATTTACACGTAAAAAGAAAAAAGTTTTACATTTTATATTATATATTCCTTTTCTATTATATGAGTTTTTATATTTTATGACAGTGTAGATTTGACTCTAAATCCACAAAATTACAATTTACCATGTGAGAGACCGGAAAAATTATATGCATCATATTTAAAGAACAGATACAAATTGTTCGTGGGTACTCCCAAATGGGCTAAACTTAAAAGAAAAGATGAAGCTGATGACTTGGATAGTGATATCTTGAAGGTATTTCTCTCTCTTTTCCTTAGCCTGAAACTTTTTTCTGCTCAATAGGTTTAATCTTAATTTTCTTTCTTCATTTTCCATATTTAGCATAGTTGCCATTTAGAAGCACCAAAAATAAAAAATCTACCAAAAAATGTTATTGACATCAAAGTGCTCAAAGCTTTGAATAAGAGCACTCGCACAGAAGGTCCTATTATTACAAGTGTGGAATTTCATCCATCATCCACTGTGGCTCTGGTTGCTGGTACATCAGGTATCCTGTCCCTATTTCAGGTACTTAAATATAAATAATTTGTTGTCGTTTTCGACATAAATTCCACCTCACAAACACGTATTAATGTGTATACTTTAATCCTGGAAAAGGATTTTCGAATCTGTGAAAGATAAAAAAGTTGTTATACAAAAATTACGATTTAGTCGGTAATACAGACGGCTTTAGGATCCCCTTAAATGTTAACGATAATATTGATATTCATTTGCATAATAATAAAATATGGAAAGAATATCAACAAATCCTGTATATAATTATTATTATTATTATTATTATTATTATTATTATTATTAACCTATGTAAAACAGTAGAATCATAAATCTCGTTTTGCCCCGAAAGTAAGGAGGAATGTGGGATAGACATGGTAACATCTTTTTTTCTGAATGTGACGGGCATATTCTGCGCATCTATTTCGCGTAGGCGACGCTTTTACATAAGGAAAAGAATGGGAGTTAGCGGTCTAGTATAATGTATAGAAATCTGTGGTCCATGCATATACTTTACAATGCAAAATGAGGTTCCATATTGATTTATAACTTTCCATAAGAAAATTTACATTATATTACTGTTCAAAATATCAAAGAGAATAATCAACTTTGATTGTTATTGACTTTTTAATGAACAACGAGCGACGGCTAAAACCTTCTGAAAATCACTTATGATCTTGACAACTTACATCAAGGCTAAGATGACGCTGGTTCTCTCTCTCTCTCTCTCTCTCTCTATATATATATATATATATTGAAATCTTCTTAAATATCTTAAATTAATCAAATTTTATTGGATCATTCAGTATCGATTACTATTAATAAATAAATTGTTTCCATTTTATAGGTGGATGGCCATACGAATAATAAATTACATAGCATGCAATTTAAAAAATATCCAATTAGCAAAGCGACATTCATGAAGGAAGGAACAGAAATTTTGCTTGGTTCCCAATATTATCCGTATTGTCATACTTACGATTTAATGAATGGCAAGACATATAAATTGTCTTTGCCACACAGGATTACAAATATGAAGGTTCATAAAACGGCGATTGTCATATTAAAAATAAATTTGCAGATGATGCTGTAGTATATATTTTAATATTTTCAGCGTTACGAAGTATCCCCTGATGGAAAATTAATAGCATTGTGCGGAAGATTGGGCGAGATATATTTGTTACACAGCTTTACTAAAGAACTTGTCGGTACATTCAAAATGAATTCGAAATGTAGGGTACTAGCATTCACGCCAGATGGTAAAACACTTATCTCGCACGGTGGTAATTATAAGCTTTTATGGTTCTTACTTCAATATAAGTTTTCCAACGAGATTTCCAAAGATTGGTACATTAAATTCTTTTCTCATTATTCAAACCGTAGATGGCAGTGAAATGTATATATGGGATTTGAATACTCGCACGTGCATCAATCGTGCCTTAGATGACGGAAGCTTATCTTGTACATCACTCGCCGTATCTCCGAGTGGCCAATTCGTAGCCACAGGTAGTGCACAGGGCGTAGTTAATCTCTATGATATGAAAACTGTGTTGGAGGATCAAAGTCCCGCGCCTCTAAAAATATGGATGAATCTTGTGACTAGTGTTACAAGTCTGAAATTTAATCTGACCTCCGAGATACTAATTGCGGCGTCAGTTGACAAATATAACGCATTTAGAATGATGCATCTACCATCGTTTACCGTATTCTCAAATTTTCCGACGCTTCAAACTAATATAGGCATGCCGCAAACGATTAATTTTTCCCCCGGTAGTGGTTATCTCAGCATTTCGAATAGAACGGGTTCTGCTTTACTGTACAGATTGAGGCATTATGGAAATTATTAATTATATTGATAAAAAAATTTTGTTAACGTTTTTATACAATATAAAAATCTGTAATGGAATATATAAGATTTTTGTAATAATCAGTGTAATCTGTTATATTATTATATCTATTATATCTTATTTACTTTTACCTACTTATTGCTATTAGTTTATTTTTAATACAGTTAATATTATTACAGTCTATGCAAAGCTACGAAAATTAAGATACTAATACATTATACATATTACATGAGAAATTATAAAATTTCTACATGTCCAAAAAACAAAATTGTTTAAATTTTTGTTTATAGTATCACATATCAAGTTATACTGTTTTGTTTCATTGTGTAGGAAGCATTAATTTTTTATTCTGCCTTTATTAAAAGTAAAGTGTAACTTTTTAACATTAAGTATCATAATTTTAATTTCTCGTTGTAAAGAAACAGATGTTACAATTTAAATCACCTTCACTCATTTCTTTTTCTCATTAAAATAAGATTTTTTAATTTGTTAATACCGCCTGCTTTTAAAATATTTATATACAAATAATATCTTGACATGAAAATTCTTGTATAAAGTAATAAAGTTCATCAATAAAGTTCTATCAACTAATTTTTTTCCATTTAAGTATCTCTTAATATGTGTACATTTCACAACTTATTCCGGATTTTTGCACATTATACATGATATACAGAATTTGTACGCATTACAGTATTTACTGCACATCTAATTGTATAATTTTTTTATATTTATATTAACATTTATATATATTTGTATTAAATATAAATAAAGAATGATATTATGTATTTTACATAAATATGTAAATATTCGGATATTTTAAATGAATGTTCAGAAAAGCAAGATATATGTATAATGTGCAATGAATGACATATTTCAGGACATATTCGAAAAATATAACTTTTAAATTACAAATCATCTTACAGAATCTTGGAATATTCTTGGAAATTATCACCTTTGGTTATTTGTCGCTTACATGTTCATTGAAAGTAAGTCTAGAACTACGTACATATATTTCATAGTAATAAACAATTAAGAATCGATATTTCTAAAGTAACATATATACACGTATACATACATACATACACACAATGTATCTTTATATGGTGCATACAAGATATATTATTGTTTCATTATTTACATCTCGATATTTTTTTTAATATCGAGTTATTGCAAGCTTACTTAGCAACTTGCAGATGATCCTAAATAATGTATACAGAATGCCCCGAAATGCGTGAATCAAAATACCACAGCCAAAAGTTTTCGAAAAATTAAGTAAAAAAAGTTACATGTACATTTTTATTTCAAGCAGTATTTTTTGAGATGTAACTGTTTAAATATAGCCAATTACAAATTATATGTATTTAGACGACCATCTGTCCATGAATCGCGTGTGCGATAATATTAGTAAGCGCACACTTCAGCGTTTAAACGTAGTCCGCTAATCTATAACTAAGCATATTTAAACCCTTATTGGTTCACAAACTATTGCTTAAAAAATAAAAATGTACAAATAACTTTTTTACTTAATTTGTTGAAAACTTATTGTAGTATTTTGATTCGCGAATTTTGGGACACCTTGTACGTACATATACAAAGCCTTCAAAAAGTCTAGAAATGTTAAGTATCTTGAAAACAATCGTCTATATACACAAAATATGTAAGTTGTAGTTGCTATAATATAAAATGTACCTAATAATGATAATAGTTTGACTTTGGATGGAGTCTGTAAGATCATATGTGAAGGTCAGAATTTGAATTTTTTAAATAAAATCCTTCATTTTTTTTATTGCATATTTTTGTAGCTTATTTCAAAAGTTTCTCCATACTTACATATACAATTCTCTGAATTGATAGTATAACTAAACAAGACTTCATTAAAAAAAAAAAAACCGTTGAAAACTGGAATTAATATACTTATGTGAGCTCGTCGCTCACCACCCATGGCGTGTGCAGTAGGCATAAGGCCTGACTGAATACAGGCATACGACTACTTAAATTAGATTTTGATTAAAAGAGTAGTTAAAGAAAATATAATTTTCTGAATATAATTTTTAAATAACGTAACTTGTCTAATTCATAATTTGCGGAAATGTTCTTTTTCAATCGCTCATCATTTTTAATCGAAAAGATTAAAAACAAAATCTTATTATAATACATCTATGCATACAAAATCAGGTAGAATAAAATGCATATGCAGAGGCAATATACAGCATCAAGCAACACGAATAAGTCTAGAAATATATTAATAGAATATAAAAATTTAAGGATTAAGAATTTTTACGACAATAATATAGTCTGATATTTACAATTTAGTTTCTTGAACTAGTGCTACTCATTCATTGTCAAGTGATATATAATGATGATGGAATAAATATTCGTATCGAGCAATTATAACCAAGGATAAATTCGGGGCTCAAAAAAAAAAAGAAAATTCTGAATCATTACAGTAACAAAAATGCAACTGTAATGTATGTAATATTCATAAAATTATAAAAAATAATAATCGAATGCATAAACAAAATAAAACAACTTTTTAAACAATGATGGATGTTACGTAATCATCAGATAATATATATCGTGTGTCGTGATAAGTAGCACTTCAATAGGCTGAATTACGATCACATAAAAGCATTTTTCATTTTTATGACTTTTAAAGATAAGAATTCTGTATTTTCAGTTCTACATTTATTCACATTACTTATTTCATTTTAGTTTTATATACGTGTGATATTTTATTTTGCTTGACATCAGGTGAGTGATTAATAAGACCTTGCTTTTTTTTTATTTTCGATTATTGTTTAAGAAGGCCACGTTTGAATCAAGACATTTAATTTGTTCAAATAAATTGTTATAGCCAATAAACATAATTAATACAAAATTTGAACGAATTAATACAATCAGTACAATTGCATATTAATACAAATCTAGCATTATACAACTGAATATGATTATGCAAGATTTCTTATTGCCCTTTTTTATCTCTTTTTGTCAATTACGTATTTCAGAATCTGATAATCATTAATACTGTGTACACTCATATACGTACATATAATACATACCTATATTATACATACAAACGTACAACATGGCTGCATTCGGTTTAGACACTGAAGAAGTGCTGAAAGCATCCAAACCGAACGCAGCCCGTATGTATATCTACATACGCGCGTACGTATGCCGTACATTATTATACTATGTATTACATATACACGTAAAATATTTATCTATTACATGTACACGTAAGTGCGCACGTTATTCTCGTACAACACGAATTTTTTACGAATTTTAAATCTTATACGTCTCTTCCTTGAATTTCAATATTTCCACATCTTCAGATTCTTCGTTTTCTGCATTCCTTTGATGAATCGGTGTAAGAAACACTAGCTATTGATCCGTCGCAGTCGTTGGAAGAGCGCTCGTGTCCCCGTTGCCGCTTTCGACTATGAGCATCACGGTTTCGGCCGCACCTCTCACACATTCTATCTGGTGGCTACCCCAGTCTTTACGCTGACAAAATGTGGAACAATACGGCGTGCGTCTGCACAAAGAGCATTCTGCAAACGCTTCTCTATTACAGTTGGCACACTGAAATTTATTACATATATATTTTTTTATTTTATATTTATGGTATTATACATTTTATTTTTTATTGTACTCTTATGTATTTATATTTAAGTTGCGTTCAGTTATTCATTGCAAATTGTTATTATCTCATGCGTTTAATAAATTCAGATTGGCTCATCATCTGTTATTAGCTTCGAAAAATTAGCAATTCGTTATCTTACTTTCCTTTCCCCTACTTGATAAATAGAAAATTAATAAATTAGAATAAGACCGCTCTATAAGTAAATCATCTAAATAAGAGAAGCGCCAACTACGGTCGAACTTAGATGATGGAATAATGTTTTTACTTTTACTTTTTATTTTTTAAATACATTTATTTCATTTATTGTATTTTAAATACATTTATTTCAGATATATGATCAACTACGAAAACAATCTGCGCGCAGCCATATCTGAAATAAACAGATTTAACAAATTAAAGATAAGAATATAATGAAAAGTAGGAGTCAGTGCAGTATTTTGTGCGCAAATATAACAATGGAGATGTTCAAAAGTCCATAAACATGTTCATTGTTATACTTACGCACAAAGTACCGTGCTGACTCTTACTTCTCCTTACATTCTTGTCTTCAATTTGTTAAATATTAAAGAGTCCTTTAAAATGAATTATTGTTCTCATTATTGTTTTAAATATATTTAAAATACACATAGAAATATTATTCCAACATCTAACTTTTATCATAGTTAACGCTTTTCTTATTTAGTTGATTTACAGTAGTCATGTTATAACATATTGTTTCTACACATTGGGCTTTCAATGCATTCTTTCTATACATATTGGCTTTTACGATAAATATTATCACATGCCTCAATGGTCGAATTGGCTAAGACACCCGCTCCAGGAAGTTGGAAAATCCAGGTTTGAATCTTGACTGAGATTATTTTCGCAATAAGTTCTATAGAGATTTAAAATGCTAGTAGTATCAAATTGACGATCAATTTAATTTGAAATATTATTATTATTTAACGTGTTGCAAGTCCGAAAATAATTGGCGCGCAGTCATTATTAAAACGTATTTAAAATGCATACAGAAACATATTATTCTAACATCCAACTCTGACCATAG